TTCCGCATCACCCTGCCCGTGCTCTCCAGATACCAGGTCTGGCTCATCCCCTGGAGGGATTACGGGCTCCACGACTGGATGTCGGAGGAGTACAGGCACATCGAGGGGAAATACGTCCGGCTCACGGGCTACCCCTGCTCCTGGACCTTCTACCACCACCTCCGGCAGGAGATCCGCCAGGAATTCTCCTTCCACGACCACATCAGGGAGGAGGCCAACCAGTACCTGGCTGGGCTGCGTGGGCAGCGCCGGAACGTGACCTACGTGGGCATCCATGTCCGGAGGGGGGACTACGTCCGGGTGATGCACCAGGTCTGGAAAGGGGTGGTGGCGGACAAGGCCTACCTGGACAAGGCCATGGGCTACTTCCGGGCCAGGTACCAGGAGCCGGTCTTCGTGGTGACCAGCAACGGGATGGACTGGTGCCGGGAGAACATTGACGCCTCGCGGGGGGACGTGTATTTCTCGGGGGACGGGAAGGAGTCGTCGCCGGGGAGGGATTTCGCTCTCTTGGCCCATTGCAACCACACGATCATGACCATCGGGACTTTCGGCCTGTTTGCCGCCTACCTGGCCGGGGGGGAGACCATCTACTTGGCCAACTACACCCTCCCCGATTCCCCCTTCCTCCAGCTCTTCAAGCCGGAAGCCGCCTTCCTGCCCGAGTGGATCGGGATCGATGCCGACCTCTCCCCGCTGCTGAATGGAAAACAAAGGCAGAAGGAAAGGACTAGTCAGGATAGCGGGCCTGCACCTGGGCACTGAAGGGGGCCTTGGCGTGGTCAGGGTGGTTCACAGCAGATATTGGTCAGGTCCAGAGTGAGGTCAGGGCAACCTGACTCCCTTCTGCCAAATTTTTCTTAGGTTTCCCCAGAAGGGGGCATCTTGTTACTATTTTGAAATAGTTAGTGCAGGGAAGCTGGGTGTAAGGATCAGAGGGGAAGTGAAGCCAGCTGTAAATGGAACAGGGAATATGGAAGATATATTATAGTTACGTCAGAAATGGGGGATTGTAGAAAATTGATAAGGGAAGCAAAGGGACACAGCGTAATATCTGTGATCAGCAGAGTTAAAGCACATGGAGCAGGGTTTTTTTTAAAATGCACGTTAGGAACAGAGAGAATGAGGACGATGATACTGGGGCGTGGCCGATGGAATTTTCAGTCCTGCAAAGGAGGCGGAATCATTCGGTTCCTATGTCTGCTCTGCGGCTGGACAAATAAATGGCCACTGGGCTCTGCTAGCACAACGTGAGTTGAATGCCAGCCAATTGTGGCCCGGATCCCCCCCCACGCCAGCCAGCTGTGGCCCAGATCCCACCCCATGCCAGCCAATCGTGGCCCGGATCCCACCCCACGCCAGCCAATCGTGGCCCCGAGCCCACCCCAAGCCCACCAGGCGCGGCCCTCA